CCTTTCTAGATAGTAAACATTTTCACTTTAAAAAAATTCTTTAATCTTTCTACAGTTTTATTTATGCAATCTTCCTATTTTAATATTCCTTACGTAGCAAATATTCTAATTTCAATGATGTTTTTGGTAAACAAATTTCTGTTTTCCATAGATAGTTCTGTAGATGTCAATATGTTTGGATTTTGTTTAAATACTGTAAAAAGTAAAAAATATTTTTTTAGCTAACATAATAGTCTGCAAATAACTCTCAGGCAATCAGTCTTCATTAAGTCTAATGTGTAACTGAAAATAAAACCATAAAGCTGCCAACAATAGAGGTTCTTAAGTTAGTTGCTAAATCAAACTTCAAGCGGATTGAATGCAAATTTTCTTATACATATTTTTCTAATATCACATTTCTATTATTATTTAAAATTTTAATAAGCCAAAAGGGTTTTTAAGTCTTGAAAGACGATTTTGGGTCTTTCCACTTTAATGAGTTCTTTTACTTTTCATTCGAGTCTGTTGCCATTTTGAAAAGCGTGATATATTAATCTTTCATATTTCATATATCTGTTATTAATTTGCAAACTATTTAAAAGCAACAGATGTAGATTTTAAAAATATTATTTTTTTTTTACTTCTGAATCTGATTTAAATAAAATGCACTTAATTCATGATACATCTCATTAAAAATATTTAAATATTTTATAGAATTACATTACACAAATTTTCAATTTTTAAATATACTGGAAATATAAAACGTTCTCATATTAGTCTAAATGAATATTCGTCTAATACCTAAAAACGTTTCGCTATTATTGTAAGGATCTTAAGTTTTACTAACGTTTATTTTATTTTAAATCTTACTATCACTTCTTATTTTCTACTTCCGGCCAGAATTATAAGCGTTAAAGTATTTATGCAAAGTTTGTCTGGCGAACGCCAAGTATTTAAGTTGTGGCTTTTTGCCAAGCGAGAGAGAGGAAGCAGTTAGTCGAAGCAGGCCGCTTACCTTAGAAGTTTACTCAGTTGCTGGTTGCCTTCCAGGCCAGAGGTTTTAATCCTCTTGATAATTTTTAAACGTATTGTAGTGTTCACAGTTCTCTGTACTACATACGGCTTCCTGTTAATATAAGGCCAATCTTCCACGTTTATTATTTTAAAGTTAAATTAGAGTTTAGTTTTATTTTTATATTCTTACGTTCAGACCACGAGTAGTGGATCTTTGTATTCCGAAGTACGGAAGTTATTGTAAATAGAGAAAAATAAAGGGTTTTGTATACCCTTCTTGTGTATCCTGTCTACTTCCCACAGTTTTGAACATAGCTTTAGTAAGCTCTCTGTTCCGAGTCAGGTCCTTGCATGTTCCCGAAGAAGGTTAGACGGAACATTGAACCTGATATTATACCTCGGCGATCTCTATTGATAACCCATATTAAGCTTTATAACAGTCCTTTTGGGCGATCGCTAAAATCTGAACCCTTTCAGATATTTTATTTTTAACCCAAAAGAGCTGTTAGTCTCGAAACGGTATTTTGCGTTGTTCACTATAAGCGGCAAATAACTTTTCAAATTGTTGCCACCATATAATTTCATCCTGTATTATTTGTAAAGAAGCTAAATGATGAAGAATTTGCATGCATATATGAATGTTCCTTGCATTGTGGAAAAACGATAGTTCATTGGGCATCAAATTTTAAATTACGTAGACCTCCACCAGAACATGTGAACCTGGAAGCCCGAATTTTAAATTTCGAGTTTTCTATTTTCTGTTTTATAAAACTGTAATGAATTTTTGATTAACGAACTCAACGATTTGAAAGTGAGCAGTGGCAACACTGTACGAAATAAAACATTTTATCTCCAGCGCGTGAGACTGTACATTGGAAATTCTACTAAAGATATACTGTTTTTAAATATTTTAAGATTTTGCTGTTGAATTGAATTTTATGTGGCGTAACTGCAGAGAACGTGATGCTATAAAGTTAACTCACCAAAAGTTAATAAATACAAAAAAAAAAAAAAAAAAAAAACCCCACACACACACACACACACACAAAAAAAAAAAAAAAAAAAAAATTGTAAGCCATCTTACAAAGAAAACTGAACGTTGGTATGACGAACTTTGTAATGACTGAAAAAAATCGAAAGATTAATGCTAACACTTAACACTGCATCCGGAATTCTTAACGTATGCTGTTATGATGCTTTTGAAATTTTTGTAATTTTGCTGTTGAATTGTATATGGCGTAAGTGCGAAGAAAATGGTGCTTTATAATACAGTTAAAAGGATAAAGAAAAATGGGTTAGCTGAAGTGTAGTAGACTACAGCAGACTGGTAGTCTACGAGCTCAGAGGGAGCGTAAAAAACCTTAACAAACCCTTTTGGGCCATTGTTAAAATCTGAACCCCCTTCATATTTTTCTTTTTATTTTGTCATTTATTCTTTTTCCCTTTCTCTCTCTCTCTCTCTCTCCTTGTCACTTTTTTTTTTAAAGTTATACATTTATTTTATTCACGATTTTTAGTTAGATATAATTGAGAATACTCTGATAGGTGAAAAAGCCCTTTTTTTTTTATTTATTAATTATTATTATTATTATTATTATTTTAACTTTTTACTACATTTAACTAAAACAATTTTATAAGTATCGGAAAAGTCATAAAAGTAGGAAAACTATTTATTATTCCTTCTAATCAAAGTACCAACAAAGTAAGCGTCATGTCCCCTCCCCTCCACTTTTCTTTTTTGGGGGGGGGCGGGTTCTTGTTTGTTCTTCCAGTCTACCAGATGTAAATTTATATTCAGCTTGTTTAAATTTCTGTTTTATTTAGAGATTCGACCTCGTCATCACCTAACATGATGGAACTCCTAATTAAAAACTGGATAATATCAAAAAATATAGAAGAATTCTTTAAAAATTGTTACGATTCTTTAACTTATTCAAGAAATTCCAAATACATTTCATTTAAAAGTCCATTTTTTAAGTCTAATTGCAAGTGTAAGAACAGAATTTTGTAAAGATTAGTTTGATCCTTAAATAAAGATCTGTGAAAGACATTACACTAAATAAAAAAAATTATATTGAATTTAAAATGTTCTTGCATAGAATTGTATCGCGAATACGTATATGTCGAAAATTTAATGAAATTCGGATCCTTAAAAGGAGCTCGAAAGGTAATTTCAGTATTTAGCCCAAAGAAATAAACAAACAAATAAATCTGTATGTCATTTATATGAGCATTTATCTGTTCATTTATCTCAGCAGGGAACAGAGAAAACATGGATGCCCTCTCCGGAAATCAAACACCGGACCCTCCTACTGTCAGCCATGCCTATCATCAATTACATAGCAAAGATACACAATGAGCAAGCAGAAATTCCTTACATTCTTTCCTACTTAAAGGAAACTAGACAGGGAGAGAACCCAATCATCAAATCCAAGTGGTAATCTGATTGAAAACTTTTGAGACTGATTTTTATATTCAGAATCCAATGATTCTACTGACCTTATAGATATATGTATATAGATATATGTATATATATAGAGAGAGAGACATTTAAATATTAATAAACAATCAAATGTAATGAAGGACTATTAAGAATCCTGCTCCTAGGCTGCAATGATTTAATTAAACATAATTATAATAAAGAGGAATACTTCTATTAAAATTCTTATATTTCAAATTAAATTAAGGAAGCTAATAAAGTAAAAGAATTATAGTTTGAAGTCTAAATAAATAAATGCCATTTTAACTTTAATTATTTAATACTTGTAAAAATTTTTCTTAAACATTTTAAAATTTTAAAATGCTTTAATATTACTTAAAAATTGCAAATTTGTAAATTGGAATTCATTTAGACTTCAAATTGTAATTCTTTTACTTTATTAGCTTTCTTAATTTAATTTGAAATATAAGAATTTTATTAGGAGTATTCCCCTTTAATTATATATATATATACACATCACTGTAATAGATTGGACCTACTTTTATTACGTAAATGGAATGACACCGGCAGACAGACGTAGCCGTCGTTTAAGTATATAATTTTATTGCCGGATCAAGTTAGAGATGCATAATCTAACTCATTTATCATTATTATGGGCGCAATATTCATTCCATAGTTTTGGAATATTAGCACATTTTATTTTTTTAGACAATGGGCAATACAGAGAAGCTAGCGACGTGTGTTAACAAGAGCGAAATTAAAGCAATCTAACTTAACTAAATCTTATTCGGTGATTGGACAAATGGTGTTAGCATTGCGGCCTAAGGAAAATTTTTATGGTGGAAATAATTTTTGAAGTAGCGCAGTTTACATTTATGTGTTATAAACACTTACTGTTTCAGGACAGAAAGGGAAAGTACACAAATTAAAATGAAGAATAAAAGGGACTATTGCCAATCAAAGTTAGAAGCTTATTATCGTACACACACATACATATATACACACCGAATTTTGGAGGCCTTCTTTTAGTATTCAGCTATCATTTTACCTGCGGAAATATACGGGTACTCATAAAATCCTGTACATGATTGCTATGCCTAGTATTTAAAAAAAATCAATCTAAGTTGTTTTCGATCCGCCTGTATACCCTTTCACCAACTATTGGTAAGCAAACTCAACTAAGATAATTATAACTATTTTATTGCACTAAATTTCACGAATCTAAACCTTTCTTTTCCCTTTATTTATGTTGTCGAATGTTTCTTGTTAGCTCTAAAATTATCTTGGTTAAGATAGTGTATTTTAGGCCTGGTACTCGAAGAATGTTTGTTTTTCACACACTAGTTTCTAAATCGTTTATAACCTTGATAACAGAAATCATTGCTAGCAATTGTAAAGTATGCTTTACTGAAACGAATGCATTTGGTTTTACACGGGAGAATCTTATCATTTCCTATGCATCTGCGAAATAATTACGTAGTGAAAAAAAACAGTAACAAACTCTCAGGCAGAGTTCGGGTTATCTTCCATTATCAGTAAGTCACTCCAAAAAGATAACAAGTATGTACACAAACGTTGCTTCGTTAGAAAATTCGCAATAATAGAAATGGCGATTTTCACCGTTATATTTGGCTAATGAATCCGAATTTAAATAATTAAAAATGAAATTAAAGCTAAAATTTTCGCTTAGGTAAGTACATACAGCAATATTTTAAAATTTTATGTTGTATCATAAATTATAATACGACGCTTAGCTTAAGAGAGCTTCTTCTGACGCATGCGCCGTTCGCGTTTATCCGCGCGGTGAATGATGACGTAACTGTTTATTACGTATGTATGTATATGTATATCATTCTTACTTCTTCGCCCTTTTTTTTTCTCTGCTGTATGCAACTATGTTTAAGTTAATCTCTGTCATTAAAAATGTTCACTGATATTACAATCTATTTAGGCTCATTTATTTCTTCAATGGTTATGGGCCCAGGAACGTTTCAACTGTGCCTAATTAGCAAAATACTTATTTTAAAATGAACATTTTGAAGTTTCGAGCATTGAACTCTTAAGCCTAATTCAGTGCAAGAACTGTTACGTCTAATCAACGGTAAGAACTGATCAGCGTTCAGTTAAGCCTATTTTTATAGCGCTCAATCTTGTTTTTTTTTTTTTTTGGCTGTGAGAGACTGTATTACATTATGTCGCATTTGACTACTATAGAAAAGCTCGGAAAAGATAATTTTGACAGTTGGAAATTACAAATAGAAGCAGTATTGATTAAAAACGACCATTGGGATTATGTAACCGGTAAAGTGCTAAAACCTGCTGAAGGAACCGAAGACGAAAAGAAATGGCTCCAAGCTGATCAAAAAGCTCGCGCAGATATAATTTTTTGCTATTTAATCCTAGTGAACTGTGTCATATAAAGCATTGTGTGACATCAAATGCTGTGTGGAATAAACTCAAAGCCGTATATGAATCGAAAGGACCTGCGAAGAAGGCTACATTATTAAACAGCTTTTATTTAGAAAAATGGCGGAAAGCGAAACGATGTCTGAACATTTGAATAATTTCTTCGAAATAGTTGATAAGCTTAAACAAATGGAAATTGACATAGCTGATGATTTATTATCGATTCTTCTGCTCTACAGTATTCCAGAAAATTTTGAAAATTTTAGATGCGCCATCGAATCAAGAGATCAGTTACCTAGTCCCGAATCTTTGAAAATCAAAATGTTAGAAAGAATGGGAAGCAAGAAAAGGGAAAACGTCTCAAGATTCACAGAATGCATACTATACTGATTATAAAAGAAGAAATCAAGAACAGAAGAAAAATGAAAAATGGAAGGTAAATTCAAACAAAAATTTTCCAGCTGAAAGAAATTTTCGAAACTTGAAGTGTAATTACTGTTCGAAAATTGGGCACAAGGCATCTGAATGCAGAAAGAAAATAGCTGATAGAAAATATGCACAATCAAATAAGGGAAATCAAGGTTCTGTGATGGCTTCTAATTATGAAGAGCAGATTAGTTTAGCAGTAAACAATGCTTATCAGAAGACCTCCTCATGGTGCTTAGATAGTGGCTGTACATCTCACATGTGCAATGACAGAAGGTTATTTTCAGAATTTCACCCTCGAACAAATTCAACCATAAAGTTAGCAGTTGACAAAACATCAAAAATTACAGGAATTGGAACTGTCCTTATCACAGCACCTAACGGAAATAAGACAATTAAACTTACGCTCAAAAATGTGTTATGTGTTCCGGAATTAAATGTAATTTGCTGTCAACATCTAAAGCTACTGCAAATAATCGTTCAGTGATTTTTACAGAACGGACATGCTAGAATAATAGAACCAAATGGATCTATACTAAGTGCAGGCTATTCGTCATGGTGATCTTTATTATATACATCCAAGCACTGAAAACAGCTGCAATAGCACAGGTAAGTGATTTTTGTAAAGTGGCATCTTAAATTAGGTCATTTAAATGAGTCTGATTTGAAAAGACTGAAGTCTGATAACATGGTTAGAAATTTAAATTTTAATAACACTGAATCTCTAAAAGACTGCAAAGTCTGTATCCGAGGTAAACAAACTGTGCAACCTTTTCAAAAAGAATCAAAATTTCAAAGTAATGAATTACTGAACTTGATTCACTCAGATTTGTGTGGACCTATGAGAGTCCCATCCCATGCTGGTTCGCGTTATTTTGTTACTTTCATAGACGACAAATCGCGTTATGTCAAAGGTCAGTTTTATTAAAACTAAAGATGAAGTGAAAAATGCATTCATTAAATACAAAGCTGCGGTCGAAAATCGTCTAGGAAAGAAAATAAAAATCCTTCGGACTGATAACGGTCTCGAATATCGCGGAGAAGAATTTAATAAATATATTCAAGAATGCGGGATTAAACGAGAATTCTCAGCACCAATGACTCCTCAACAGAATTCGAGAGCTGAACGCATGAACCGCACTTTAACTGAAATGGCCAGATGTTTGTTACAACAAAGTAATCTTCCCCAATCCTTTTGGGCTGAAGCCTTGAACTGTGCTGTTTATATTCGTAATCGTTGCCTGGGAGTAAACAAAACACCTTATGAGTTATTTTTTGGCATCAAGCCAACTGTATCTCACTTCAAAGTATTCGGACAGAAATGTTTTGTACTTAATAAAAGGTCTAAAGGGAAATGCGATCCTCGATCAGAAGAACATATATTTGTAGGATACTCAAATGAATGGAAAGCGTACAGGCTGTGGAATAAAAATTCCAGAAAAATTGTTATAAGCCGAGATGTTAGATTCATTGATGAATTTGAAAACTGTACTAATTATGATAAAGATTTAGAAGTTTTATTTCTCGAAAATATTCCTGATAAAAAGAAGGAAGAACCTCTGAATGTAAAGCAAATATCGGCTGATGAAATAACTGAAGACCCCTCAAATATGGCAGAAGCATCTGCTGAATCATCTGATAATGAAGATTCTGATTCCGAAGCAATACCTGAAATGCAGATTAAAAGGGGGCCAGGTCGTCCAAAGACAGTCAAGACTGGGAAGCCAGGAAGACCAAAAAAGGAGTACCACAATATAAACATAGAAAAGAAAGAAGCACAAATTGCTGAAGAAGATACAAATCCGACATTAGAAGAAGCATTAAATGGAAGTTATGCTGAAGAATGGCATAAGGCTATGCAAAGTGAGTATGAAGCACTTGTTAAAAATGGTGCATGGAAATTAGTAAAGCGACACACAACAAAAAGGTAATAGGATGTCGCTGGGTTCTTAGAACGAAATATAATGCAGATGGAACAGTTCAAAAGAGAAAAGCTCGATTGGTTGCTAGAGGATTTGCACAGGAACCTGGAATTGATTTTAATGAAACCTTTGCTCCAGTAGCCAGAGCAAGTTCCATAAGAACTGTGATTGCATACAGTGCTGAACAAGACCTTATGTTATATCAACTAGATTTTGTTATGGCTTATGTTAACGGAGATTTAAAAGAAGAAATTTTCATGGAACAAGCTAAAGGTTTTGAAGACCAAAATAATCCTGATTATGTTTATGCTCTGCAAAAGTCTCTTTATGGTTTGAAACAAAGTGGGGGGGGGGGGGGGGGGGGGGGGGGGGGGGGGGGGGGGGGGAAGACAGTGGTATGAAAAATGAAATTAGACAAAAAACTCAAAAACTTTGGATTACTACCATTACAATCAGATAAGTGTGTATACAGGATGAAAACATCTCAAGGTGAGTTAATTCTAATTTTATATGTTGATGACTTAATAATAGCAACAAATAGCTGTGATGTATATGCTGAACTTAAAGGTTATCTTTCTAAAGAATTTCATGTTAAAGATTTAGGCAAACTTCATTATTGTCTTGGAATAGAATTTAATCAAGATGTAAATAATAATTCTATTAATTTATCTCAGCAGAAATATTTCTATGCTTATATTGATAATATTCTACGAAGGTTTAATATGCAAGATGCAAAACCAGTAGCAACTCCTTTAGATCCTAGTGTAAAGTTAAGTAAAGAAATGTGTCCTTCTGAAACTGAAAAGGGAAGAAATGAACAACGCACCTTATCGCCGTCTAATTGGTTCGCTTATGTATCTTTTCTGTGTTTACTAGGCCTGGATATTGCATATGCCGTCAGTCACCTGAGCCAATTTAATAACAATCCTGGAAAATTACACTGGTTGGCTGCAAAGCGCGTTCTTCGATACTTAAAAGGAACTAAAAATTATTGTTTAAAATTTTCGAAAAGACTGGAAAAAGCACTTAGTGGATATACCGATGCCGACTGGGCGTCTGATGTTAATACTAGAAAATCCGTATACAGGTTACCTATTCAAGCTAGCTGGAAATCCGATAACACATGGGAATCACGAAAGCAACAAACTGTTGCATTATCAAGTACTGAAGCAGAGTACATCAGTCTTTCAGAAAGTGCCAAAGAAGCAGTTTATTTACGTCGTTTTCTTAAAGAATTAAATTTTACTGCTGATTATCCAACCATTTATATATTGTGATAATCAAGGTGCACAGAAGCTTATGAAAAATGCTGTTTATCACTCACGCACTAAACACATAGATATTAGACATCATTTCATTTCGTGAAATTTATGAAAGAAATGAAATAGACGTTTTAAATATGTGCCAACAGAGAAAATGCCTGCTGATGTACTGACAAAAACATTGACTGCTTCGAAACATTCTAAGTGCTGTAAATTAATTGGAATAACTATAAATGATTAATGTTTATTTTTTTTTCAGCCGCCAAATGTCGAAAGGAGGATTGTTGTATCATAAATTATAATACGACGTTTAGCTTAAGAAAGCTTCTCCTGACGCATGCGCCGTTAGCGTTTATCCGCGCGGTGAATGATGACGTAACTGTTTATTACGTATGTATGTATATGTATATCATTCTTACTTCTTCGCCCTTTTTTTTCTCTGCTGTATGCAACTATGTTTAAGTTAATCTCTGTCATTAAAAATGTTCATTGATATTACAATCTATTTAGGCTCATTTATTTCTTCACTTTAAGTATGCAATATCAATATTCTTATAAGAAATATAAGAAAATTTCTTGTAAACAAAACAACAACAATATTAGAGAACTGTTGTCATTTAAATCTCTTCTGGTGTATGTCAGCTGCAGAAAGAATTCGAGGAGCAGAAATTTAA